ACGCCGCCCTCTCTCTCTTCTGCCATAATCCCCAAGTTGTCTTGACGCTATATGTCATTACAATCTTAATCACAACCGTACACACCAACGCATAATAGCGCGTCCCGTGAGGGATGCAGATTACGAGGGGCTTTACTTTCGAGAACACGAGGTCTCAAATTTCCACGCGGCGTGATGATGCAGATGCTGTTTCCAGGGTAAGGATGAGCAGATGTGAGGTTGGGACTCGCAGTCGTGTGGCTGGAAAGAGCTTCGACCAGGCATTAGTGGTTTGCTGCTCTTCCTGGAATGACTGTCACCAGCGCTTCCCACAAATATACACAAAAGTATAAAAAACACTGATAAATAATAAATTTTCTGTCTTAAAGGTTTTTAATAATTCAAATGTGGGTCTCTGTATGCGGCTCCATCCAATCATCTTGATTTGATTTGTTATTTAATGTTTGCACCAAAAGTAGTCAGATTTAAATAATCTAATATGCAAGAATGTATAAAGATCAGGTGCATTACGCAGCTCACATACGGATAAAAAGCTGTGTATAAATGCTGCTATTAATAAGCAGATAAATGCTTGTGTACACTGGCTGCAGGCAGATAAATCTCTTGTTGGGCAGGTGATGAAGTGACGATGGTGTGTTTATTATTCCACTCTCGCTACCTCGGCCTAAAGGCTTAAAATGGCTGATGGCTTCATGATGTCATCTTTGGAGCGTTGGAAAAGGTGCATGTCTCCCTCCAGTGGTTGGTGGAGCTGAAGTTGGAGGTTAAATGGAGCGGGCCTGTCAACTCTTTCTGACTTGAACTTTAAAAGTGAAAGGAGGAGAAGAAATACGCCCATAATACACTGTTTTATGTGAGAATGTCAGTAGATTATATATGATTGAAGTGAGTTTAAAGGATCAGTCAAACTAGTGATTTCAAGAACTTTATTAAGAACTACAGTAAAAGTAATCATCTTATTGTTTTAGTAAAATACCTTCTTTAATGTATACCTTTAAAGGCATGAGCTACTTGTACAGTTGTGTTACAGTATAACAGGTGATTCTTTTGTCTTCTTTGATCTTACTTATATATTAAGAAACAGTTTACAAATATGTTTGAATCTACAGTGTTCAGAACTAAACTAATTCAGCTATTAAGAAGACGAACCTAACTGAACTCAGGAAAAACAGAATAATAAATGAATAGTTCTAGCATTTCATTGTTTCAACTAACATTGGTAATAAAACAAGTGTAAAGACAGACTGAAGGAATATTGAACACTAATTTTAGTATTGCTCATTCAATATTTAGATAGTATGACTTTTATCATGTCAGCCTTTTGTTCTTGATTAATTTAAATTATTTCATTGGTTAGCACTGTTGCCTCGCAGCAAGAAGGTCGCCGGTTCGTGTCCCGGTGGGGGCACTGGGATCTTTCTGCGTGAAGCTTGCATGTTCTCCCCGTGCAGCGTGGGTTCTCTCCAGGTTCTCCGGCTTCCTTCTACAAGTCCAAAAACATGATAAGGTTATTTGGTGATTCTAAATTGTCCGTAGGTGTGAATGTGAGTGTGCTTGGTTGTCTGTCTCTAAGTGTAGCCCTGTGATAGACTGATGATCTGTCCAGGGTGTCCCCTGCCTTCACCCTAAGTCAGCTGAGATAGGCTCCAGCCCCCCCGACCCTAGTGAGGATTAAGCGGTGTATAGATAGTGGATGGATGGATATGTATATCAGTGTTGACCCATTGTTTAGATTGATTCCTTCAAGAGTAGAACCAAAATCATATTTTCATTTGTATAGTTGCATCTGTTCAGTTCCTGCACAGTGTGTTTTAAAAAATGATTTATTCCATGCATGAAGGGTGATAATATCTGAAAAACTGTGAGCTTCAATTGCAAATTTCGACCTGGATCCATCATCAGCACAACATGCATCAGTAACCAGTAAGGAAGGAGGACGTAAGAGGGAGAAGGTGGCTGTTGTAGCTGCAAAGTTTGCCACATTAATTGTTTTGTATTGTTATTTCCACAAAAAATAAAAAATAAAAAAATAAAATTGCTTTAGATCTGCAGAAATCTGTACTTTAATTATTGTTTTCAGTTCAATTCAGTATGTTTTACTGGCATAAATATCAGGTTAAAAATGATGCTGAGGCATTAAGGAGAGTTGTTTTTTTAATGAATAAAAAGAACAAAAGCATGGCAGGAAGAAATGCATGTGTTGTGTGTCTATCTGTATGTGCTGTAAGTATAAAAACTGTTGCATTCGTTGTCCGATAATTTGTGACATGCCGTCATATATTGTGCAACTAGATAAGCTGCTCTGTGCACGTCTAGGAAGTTTAAGAATAATGACTCAAACTTTTTAAAGCATTTCTCTCTCATACCATTGTTTTTGTCACATTAGAAGAGAAGTGCGTCTACTCACCTGTGGTGCAGTGACCACAGACTCTTTCTTCTTTCGGCAGCCAAGACTTGTGTCGTCCTTTCTGTGCAGCAGACTCTGATCCCTGAGTCTGTATCTGGTCACGATCTGCCTCTGCTTCCTATCTGTGACAGTAAAGACATATTCTGCCAGTTTATATTCACGTTTTAGCACCAGACAGCAATAAAGTTTGCTTAAGTTCTGGTTTGATTGCTTTAGTGTTGCAGATAAGCATCTTTTGTGAGTGTAATAATGTGGCTTCTTGTGATTAGCTGTTGGAGAGCAGTGCAGGTCTGAGGTTGATCAGTGTTGATGGTGTCTGATCTCAGGCCCAGCTGACAGGACAGACTTCTTAGGATTCAGCTATGGGGTTTGTCAATTCTGAAATCTCAGTGCGTCTGAGGGCCTCAATTTGACATGCAAACACATTTTTTAATGCTGATAATCAATTTTTAACGGCCTAATTCTGCCCTGCATGCATTTGTTGGTGTTTTGCTTTAGAATGTTTAATAAGGATCTGCAGAATTCTGCATAGAGAGCCTCTGTGGGATTCCTATCCTATGCAGTGTATTTCTGATGGCTGAGTTGACCAGAGTTGATAAATGAATAATCAAAATTGCTTTGTAATATTTGTTTTGTTATAGTATTTACAGTCAAGAATCCACACTTAACACTGAGAATAAAGCATTTATGACACGTCAATTATGCACACAAAACATACTGAGGACTCAGAGCAAGTTAATAAAAATATCTACAATATGTAATGTGCAAAACATACAGTATAGAAGATATGCAGTGTGCATTCGCGTATCTACAACCTTCATATACCATAAAATCCCTTATCTATACACTGCTTAATCTCACTGGCAGAAGTCTATCCCGGCTGACTCAGGGGGGAAGACAGGTTCATCCTAGACACACTCACGTTCACACCTATGATCCTTAGAATTGCAAATTAACTTCAGCAGTTTTTTTAGACTGTCGAGGAAGCCAGAGAACCCAGCGAACCCACACTGCATAGGAAGAACATGCCACACAGAAAGATCTCAGGCATCCTAACCGGGAATATGTATTTAGAAAGACATTTATAGCTGTACATTACACAACCGTATAAGTAGTAGAGCAGGTTTAGTTCTTACTCCTGTCCATTAAACAGTCTGATGGCAGCTAATACTTTAAAAAGTTCTCCATCTCACCTGGAAAACAAGGGGAGTAACGCTTATTTTGGGGCATAACTGTGTACCATCAAGTCTTCTGTCACTGTCCGCAGCAGCTCAAATGTTTGAAGCTATCACAGATTAAAGTAGAGAGATGCTTTGAACTGCAGGACAATGCGTCTGTCCACACAGCATCAGGTGGCAGAAGCAGATGAATGTGGCTTTGATCTGTTGCTCCATGAACCTTATTCACCCAACCTGTCCCATCTGACCTTTGTTCCCCAAACTGAAATCCCACATGCCATTTTCAGAGCAGTGTTGAGGTCATGCATGCTGTAGAGGAGAATCTGGAAGCTCAAGATGAGACCTTCTTCTGCAAAGGGATAGTTAAGATTGAACATTTGGGTGAAGCAGAGAACTTTTTGAAGTACTCCTGTAGATAGAACCTTCTTTTTGTCAACTCTTTATGGTGAGTTAAACCACATTCCTGCAGAATTTTTTGTTTAGCCGTGCATCTGTGAATTCGCTCATGTCTTCACAACCTTGAGCTTCTCTGCAAAAAAAACCACTGTTGACCTTGGTGTTACCTCTTTGCTGCATCCCCTGAAAGCACGCAGTTAATGCCTGATAATGACTTCACACCTACTCAGAGGTGTTATCATCTGATGGAGGCATTCAGCAGTGGCACGCGCATGCATGGGCACGCGCACGCACTCCACTCCCCCACCTCATACAGTGTTTACAAACAAATGGCCTACAGATGGCAGGGTCAGTCACTCTGATGATAACATGGCCTGCAGACAGAACAGGATTACAAACCTGCAACCACAGCAGGCCAACATGAGGTAGGTCTGTCTGTCTGTCTGTGTGTCTGTCCAGGAAACAAGATTTGTTGGTGCTGATTACAGACTTTGACAATAATCATTTATAAAAGTCAGCTAACCTCATCATTCCAAAGTAACAAGATGCTGCAAAGGGAGCAACGTGTAAAACCGGACATGGATTCTGTAGTGGAGGAGGAAGAACCATCATGCACCGTGGCTTTGCGCTGCTGCACCGTGGAGATCGAGGAAAGCTAAATGACACAATTCCACACACACACGTGGTCGATTCGGTGTTTGGATACACGATTAGTCGGTGATATCGATGCATTACCGCGGATTATCAATAATCTTTACCTGTAGTGGTTATTACGACTGGTTGCACGTGTAACCTGGTCGGTCCGCTCCTTTCTTGTGTGATTAAAACACTCCACCTCTTACTGCACCCCGAGCAGCATATGCGCGTATAGCTACCCCCCAACCGACCTTGAATCTGTCCTCGGATTAATTCTCAACAGTGATTGGTCGCAGCAGCGGAGCCGCATCAGCGTCCTGGATTCTAATTGGCTCAGAGCGCTGTCGGTGCCGCCGTGCCCGCCTCCTGCTCTGTTTGGTTGGATCTCTCTGCTCCCCTTTCTCTCGGCGGTGGGTCGGAGCCGCTGTCCCTGGCCTCGCATGTTCCCCTCCGGATTCCTGTTTTGAATTTAATGCCCCTCTTGTAGATTTGCTCCATTTACTCCGAAAGGGCCGCAGTCGGGCGTCCGTACACCGGTGTTTTAGTGCTCCCAGTATTCGGCGTTGAGAGACTTTCCCCCCGAGCATGGCTGTGGTGAGCGGATCGTCTGGGCCGGTTGCCCGGCTCGAGGGCCGTGAATTCGAATACATGATGAAAAAGCGCTCGGTGACCATCGGCCGGAACTCGTCTCAGGGCTCCGTGGACGTGAGCATGGGCCACTCGAGCTTCATCTCGCGGAGGCATCTGGAGATATTCACCGCCAGCGACGACGGCACCGGCAGCGGAGATTTCTACCTGAGGTGTCTCGGTAAAAACGGGGTGTTTGTAGACGGAGTGTTCCTGAGACGGGGCGCCCCTCCTCTGCAGCTTCCACGAATGTAAGTTTCCCCCCCTCTTGGAGAACATGTGGACGCTAGCTCCCCGGTAGCCAAGCCCGCTACAGTTAACAACTTTGGGTTTATACTGGCCAGCAGGGTCTAGACCACGTGTTTTAGCATGTTAGCAAGAACTCCGCATCCTGTTCCCAATGCCATTTTCTTTGTTGACATTCTTGTTAGCAACAGTGTTAATTAGCCGCCTGCCTTCATTCCACATTCCATCCAGTGGTTAACTTAGCTTTAGCCGCATTCCTCTGTGTCTCCAGTGGAGCTAGTTAGCCAAAATAACCAACCTACAGGGATACTGTTTTTGATATTGACTGGTGGTGGGATTTTTTTCTATCACGTGGACACTCTAAAGTCACAAATGTATTCTCGTGATACTGTAAACATTCCTCGTTGTGCTCATGCCAACATGTTAGCTAGCAGTTAGCTTCTGTGCAGTTGTGAATGGATCTCTTCTCGACCCCTAAACGTAAACAAACCAGCCCGTCCCCGCCCTGTCAGCTCTCAACGGCACAACCTGTGGGACCTTTCACCTCTATTCAAATAACTCGGATTCACGCTAACCCAACCCAATTCTGCAGTCACTAGCTTACACTGGCTATTAATCAAGAAACAGAGTTGGAGTCTTCTTTCTAAAATTGAATAAGAAGTTTTTGTAAGGGAGGCCGGGGAAGTTTCTGAGTTGTGTCTTGCAGGTTGCAGCCTGCACTGAGCCATTGTTTGACATGTTGATAAAGTGCTGTTGTGAAATATTCTGCCTTCTACACAAACATTTGTCAGTCTTTCACTTTTCCAGTGAGTTGTAAAACTTGGCATTTGGGTTCCAGTAAATATTTCCTGCATGGTTTGGATGTGGGCCATGTTGCTCATACAGATAAAGTTCCTCAACAGAAACCACTTACCAACAACTTTGGTAATCAAATTAACCCCGTCATCGCATTGGCATGATTACTAATATTTGTGAATTTAATATCCCTGGATTTGTGAACAAAAGAACAACCAGATGCAAGACACTGCCATGAGATGTTTGTGACTGATGGGTATATTTTGTGTTTTTTACTGACATACTGTAATTTTTTTAAATGCTCAGCAGTGTAATTACCTACAGACACTGTTGTTGAAACCCTAAAATTGCCAACGACTCTCATCTTTCAGTTTCTTAAATGTTAAGGTTTGTTGCTGTATTCTTGAATCTGTAGATCTCACATCTGGAAAAACAAATAAGTAGACGTTACATTGTTTTCTGGTAAATTTTGATTGTTTTGACAAATTTTCTAACATTTTCAAAGCTATATGAGTATTTGATTCATCAAAACAATGCAATATATGTTACATTTGTACATCCAGGACCAGAATTGAAGTCTTGTGTTCAATTTTTATGCCCTCTATCATTTGTGTGATTAAGTTAACAATAGCCTACTCTGTAGTTTGACACAAAAACAAATGAAGAAGATAACTAAATTCTTGAATATGTGAATTTGATGTGTAATTTCTGCCGTTTGAGAAGAATGGGAGGAAAAATGTGTCCACATGCAGAATTAAAACTACAAACCATTTGTGCGTCACGAATAATAAACCAAACCAGGATGTTTACATGTTGGCCAATTAGATCCATTTGGGATTTCAGAATGCCAAAAAAGTGGCTGCAGTTCATTCACTTCACTACCCGATAATGTCGACAAACCTGCCAGTTTCTGCCAACGCTGGTCAGACTTTGCACACTGCTCTCAGCGATTGTGCAATCCCTCAATATGAAACCACTTTTTTTTCTGTGCACCGCACAATGTCGACTTGTTTTGACTTGATGCAATTTCTAAATTGGCCTGTTGCACGGGACTGTTTTCTTCTGCTGCACAGAGTTTGAAAGTTACTGCACTGCTCTTCAGCTGCATAATACATACAGTATATCGATGGACTTTATTATGTAGGCACCATGAGGAACAAGGAAGGAGCAGCAGTGGTTTCAGATTCTTCTATTGATCGAACCGACTGTCAATATGGAGCTTTTAATTAGTCTTTACTTCATGGACTTCCATGAGTAAGACACCAGCTAGCACCGGCTCACATGCTTTACTGTAATCCTCGAGCTAGAGAAGACCCTTAAACGACTAACACTGTCCGTGATAAGACCAACACAGCTGAGGAGGCAGATTGACAGCATGAGAGAACTCGCAGAGCTGTGGCTCAGGGGACAGGTCGGTTGTATTCCAGGGATTCCTCTTTGGTGATGTAAACAGAGCCAACTGAAAGCAACAGCCTTCCCTTCCTCCAGCCTTCCTCCCTCCCCTGCCTGCCCTCTCCCACACCCACAAATTCACTCCAAGTTGGTGCTCTTCCTGTCTTCTTTTGTTTACATTCTTTTTTTTTTACAGGCTGGGTGGGGGTGAAAATCAAGTGAAAGCTTTCAGTTGAACAGCTTTGTTTGTTGCTGTCCTCACAGCTTAGCAGCATAGCAACTGTGCATTTGCGTTTCTGGAGTTTAGGCCTCATTGTTCATGCAAGAGAAAAATAGGGTTTATAAAGACACTTCTGTGATTACATGCAGGAGGGAGGTGTTGAATAACATAATAAACACAGCTTTTCCTTCTATTAACCTCATCTAAACAATACCAAATCACTATTGGGAATTAAAAGTGATGTGTTGCACGTAGTGTTGAAACTATGTCGAGAGTAGCTGCGTAAAGCATCTTATATTAATTTTAAATGGTTGGTTAGATTGTCAGGCTTGAGTACTTATCTTGTCTCACATCTCAGATATTTCCTGATCTGAATGAGGAACCTTTTAAAACTTTAGAGAGTCTTTGAATTGAAGCGGTTGGCACTTGTTAAGTGTTTTATATTCCACAGTTCTGAAACTATGAAATCATAGCAACACTCATGTCTAACATTTTCAAANACTTGTTAAGTGTTTTATATTCCACAGTTCTGAAACTATGAAATCATAGCAACACTCATGTCTAACATTTTCAAATGTTTCTCTGCCATAGTTTACAGACAGAAAGTGATTGACTTTTATTTTTTTAAATCTTTCAATTCATTCACATTTGCATTGCCCAAGTGTGCTCCTTTTCATTTTTATCATATTGCAGTTGGAAGGGCTGCAACTAACAATTACATCCATTAGCCAATAATCTGTTGATTATTTTCTCGATTTACCTTAAAGTGGACGTGGCTATAAAATATCAGAAAATGGTCGAAAATGTTTCCCAAAGCACAAAATAACGTCCTTAAATATCTTGTTTTGTCCACAACCCAAAGATATTTAGTTTTACTTTCATAGAAAAAAAAAAAAAAAAGACATTTCAGTTTAGGAAGCTGGAGTCAGAGAACTTGGACTTCCCTTCTTTCTTTCTTTCTTTCTTTAAATACTCAAACAGATTAATCAGCTATCAAAATATTTGAAAGTTAATTTAATTATTGACAGTCAATCAGTTAAGCATTGGCGCTCGTACTGCAACTGATCATTACTTTTTGTTGTCAATTAACCTGCACATTAGTTTCTTGAGTAATCCTTTAAGTCAATGAGGAAAGTGGAAAAAACAAACCTCATTGCAGTTTCCCCATCACACAAAGTGACATTTACAGATACTCACCCCAATGTCACAGAGAATGACATAGCAACATTTTGCATTGTTGCTTTAAAAGTGGCTTAAAAAATCACTTATTATCATTATAGTTTATTGCTTTACTAGTACTGTATGACTGTTGATCAGGCAGTCTGTAAATAGCCTACCTGTGCAATATACAGTCGTTGTGATATGCTGAAAGCCTAACATTCGTATATCAAAAGACTGCTGAAGTTGAGCCATACAGTTGCGTTCACTGACAAGCAGGGTGACATACAGGGAAGAGCATAAAGGAACCAAATACTGTCTGATATTTTATCTTTTACTGATATATTTAGATTCCATTGTTCCTGCTCCGTCAGCTGCTAGATATTTAAATTGTCTGATGTTATTTAAGGATCTTCCACGACTTTTATCAGATCTGCAGCGAAGACTCAACCCTTCCTGAAAGGCTACATGCATAATGAAAGTGTCTCCCCTCACCATTCTGGCTCCAGGAAGTGTTGCAGTCTCCTCCTGCGAGCGGCAAAGCTAATTTGAGATGTAGGTGTCGGGGATACAGTTCTCTCAGCAGATGCCAGCTCTGTGAGGGCCTGGCAAAAAAACTGCTGTGCCTGGCAGTCTTCAACTAAGTGAAAACCAATGTGTGCCTGCGCCGTTTCCAGGGTGTCAGGCAGTCCGATCTGAGCAGCGATTTAGAGGAGTCCTTTCTATTCAGTGGTATCTGTGAGTGTCGCCTCCAAGGTTTCCCTCCATCCCTCTGATAGAAACATCTTTTGTACACCCGTGGTGTTGCTACTAATCCAGAATATTTTACTTACAAAAAAATCCACCTTACAACTTCAGTTACTTTTGGTGATGGCTTTGCATCCCTATTTTATTAGTGGTCGTAAGTTTTTCCTCTTTTTTTTTGTCCTCTAGATATCGTATGGTAAAGTGAAGGGGGATGTTTTTCAGCTATCAGTGATAAGTTAAACTAGTAGGGACAATGCCACAGACCTGTTGTTCATGACATCCTCGAGATACAGACGCCCCAATCATCTGTAATGCAGGAGAAGAGGATGGTGCGTTAAAATGAAGTTTGAATTCATGAGAATTAATTGTGATGTAGCCCACATAGGCTATCCTAAAGAATTTGACATTGAATTAAAGTGGACTGAGTCGCTCCTTTGCTCAGGCCATTTCCATAAAGTTGGTGGATGCACAAGAGAGACGTTAACTTTTAGCTCCCGAAAAAACACAGGATCCTTCAATTTCTATAATAAAATGTGGAGTCTTTTAGTAGTAACTGCCTACAAACTTCTTTTAAACCAACAGTTTTTAACACTTATCTTTCTTTTCACAAAGATTCACATTATTAATGTTAGTCGGTCAAACTTCTGCAGGGCAAATAAACTGGCCCTTGTTTGTGATTGGTGGAGTGTCTATTTAATTTCTGTTAAGTAACAGTAACTTTAAATTTGGTGGATGTTACTGCAGACTGTCAGCCAACAGCCTCGCCTTTATCTACAAATTTCCCATCTGACGGTGTCAACTCCTCAGATGGTTTGGCGTCATGATGATCAGCAACACGCCTCGCTGGTTTTTATCAATTTTGCATAAATGAAGAGAACAGCAGCAACCTAGTTTACCGAGAGGAAACGGGACATGCAGCAGATCCATCCTAGAAGCAGAGACACCGAATTCTCTCTCTCTCACACACACACACACAGCCTCTTTGGAGCATAATTTCATGCAGCAACAAGGCATTCTGCATATAAACGAAAATGGAACAAGTCCTTACCCTATTTTCTGCAGCGTACTGAAAGTCATCATGGAAAGTGTAGGAAGGCTTAGACGATGTTGGATGCAACAGCAGCGGGTGTTGCAGCAGTTTGGTTTGACAAATTATTAATGATCAGTCAGTGTTATTGTTCTGTTTCCTGATTTGTATAATCAGATGCATCAGTTGGCCACAGGAAAAAAAGTTGTATCTGAGGTATGTTGTCATTGTTGACTTGGTGCAGAGGCGTGTGCATGTCAGGCATGTCTTATATTTACCACTCTGCCTAATTTAGCTCAGTTTCCACTGAAGCCACTACTTCCTCTCAAACAGGGACATATCAGTGTCATCCAGCCAATGGATTACTATTTAATTTGAATTATTGAACACATTAAAGTCAAGCAGAGGATCCATAAATGCGCCTGCCAAAGGTTTATGTGGTGTTTTCCAGTACTCACTCATTTGCCTTTCGTAATGCTGTTTTCATTGACACGTGATTCGGTGCTTGTTTAAATAAAGTTTTGAGAGTTCAGACAGTTTTTGTGTGTGTTTCCTTTTACAGGTGCACTTTCAGGTTCCCCAGCACAAACATTAAGATCACATTCACAGCCCTGTCCAGTGGGAAGAAGGTGAAGCGTGAGGCGCCCGAGTCCCCAGTGAAACCAGTCCAGCCCCACATCTCCCCCCTGACCATCAACATTCCAGACAACATCGCTCACCTAATGAGCCCCCTGCCATCGCCGACTGGCACCATTAGGTACTCATTGTTGGAAATTATGTTTTTATGTTGTTTTTGTTTTTGTTTTTTTTGCACTACATAGCTTGTGGGATGAAGATCACCTGCATCTGTTTTCACTTACAAATGAAGGTTCATAATTTAACCCCCTGAACCCTGAGTTTTTGGATGATTGCTGCTTCTGCGCGTTGTTACTCACTGTGGCATCATTTTTTACACTGTAATGAAAAGGCCTGCCCCTTTTTTTTTTATAGGAAAAGCATAACCATGGCTAGAAAGAGAGAGAACTCTATAACGTCTTCTGTGCAATATAAGACTCTTAAAATGGTAAAAATCATAAAAAGAAATGGAAACAGTTTAGGTTCTTTGATGGCTTATTTTGCAAGAATTGGGGGGGAAAAATGAGAATTAAAATGTACAATGTTTTCCAAGTGCCCACAGGTGGTACCGATGCTGAAAAATAATGGCGATGCTATATACAATATATATTTTACTACTACTTTTTAATATGTGTCTCCTGTCTGCTCTGTGTAAACAGCCTGCAGTTCAGAAGAAAAATCCCTGAATTTGCATCAAGTCACTGTTGGTGTTCCCGGTGACACAGAGAAGCGCAATTTTCTTAGATTTTTTTTTTCTCTGGTCAGAGAAACAGCTGATGTTTGGAGAATTTTAACTGAGATGCATTTTGGTGAAATGTTATGATTTTAAGCTCAGATTTGGTCAACTTTCCTGACTGAGCAGCATATTGATTCCTTTCAGTTCAAATAGCTTTATTTACTTTAGGAACTTTATAGTGGTTCTGTCAGACATTGAATGGAATACTCCATTTTGATAGAAAGTAGAAGTTTGGTTGACTGAAAACACCAAGAACAAGGATGGAAGTAAGTGCAGGACAAAGTTGTGTTTTATATGGACTGGAATGTTGTCAATAGCCAACAGTCAATAAGTCATTAATATAAAAGCTTCGTAAATCTTTTCAGCTTTGAGGCACTTTCCTCTAGTGCCCTAATGTTTTCTGACCCTGGGTGGGTGTTCTGTGGTAAGAAAACTCCCTCCCACACAGCTCCTCAGTGACCTTGAGCCTGTCAGCTGACCTTGACATGGCCCCTATATAGTGATCAGCTTAGGCTTAGTTCTCTGACTGCAGAGCTCAGAGAGGGAGGCGGCTCCATCTCAGACCCTTAGATCCTCTCAAACCCTGATCTCAGCCAGATGGCTAAAGAAAACCTCAACCAGGTTTCTTCAGTCATTCACACGTTATGTGAAGGTTAAATGACAAAGTGTGTTGACAAATAAACACTGGAGATAATGAACGAGGCAGCAGGTGCCGTATATGTGGGCGTCCTGATCTGCTGCTGCGTTGTTTGGTTTACCACCACCTCCAGAATCCCCTGAGGACCGAAATCAACATGAAACATGGAAATCGTCCTTTACATTAAGTCTAATCTGGTTATTCATATGTTGAGTAATTAGACCTGATTAGGACTTAAAAGCGTTGCTGCTTTAGGCCTGATTGTGGCTCCGAAAGTGATTGCAGTGTTTCCAGACAATCGGGGAGGTAGGGCGATTTGCATAGATGTCGGCCAAAAGCGTGCCACTGCAGCACAGACTGCGGATGATCCGAGCCACACAACGTCGCTGTGCCCCTTCTGGGAAATGCCAAGCCTGTTATATTTTAGGTTTAAGCACTTAATCCAAACCTATAGTTGGTTGTTTATTTCTTCTTCAGTATTATAAGTGTAAATCATCTTTACTGTAAGTTTCTTTTCAGCTGACTGTCTTTTTTTTTTCCTCCTCCCCTGCAGTGCTGCTAACTCCTGCCCCTCCAGTCCGCGGGGTGCAGGCTCTTCAGGCTACAGGATGGGTGGTCGCATGGTCAGCTCTGCGGAGCTGCAGCTTATAAATGACAACTCCCAGCCTGAGAACGACAAAGAGGCCTCTGGAGGGGACAGTCCCAAGGTGAGAGCTCAGGCCCTGCTCACTGTGTTCAACATCTCAGGATGTGTTAAAGTGTGGTAAATGTTGCTGCTGATCACAACATTTCAGACATTGTTTTAGTTGTTTATGGAGCTGAAGCTGAATTTTTATTATATTGGAAAACAACTCTGTCAGAAATACACAACTGGACATGTCTCACAAATGGCTCAGCCTTCAAATACAGTAACAAGGGAAGAGCATTCAACACGCTATTTTAGTTGGAAGACATGAAGAAAGTTTCCTGTGTATTAGAGAGATTTTTTTGTATGTGATTCATAAATCTGTATTTCTGGCCTCTGCTCCACAGGACGACTCGAAACCTCCGTATTCCTATGCACAGCTGATAGTCCAGGCCATAACGCTGGCCCCGGACAAGCAGCTCACACTAAATGGAATCTACAATCACATCACAAAGAACTACCCTTACTACAGGACAGCAGACAAGGGCTGGCAGGTTTGTTTTGCCTCATGTTCACTGGTTAGAGCAAGACCTACAGAACCTCTGCACCAGATCCTCAGTGCTTAGTTTTCTCCCAAAACAGTTGCCACCATAATGTTAACCATAATCGGTAATCAAAGCAGTCTACATTTTTGTTTTTGCTGTAACGTCACCTGTTCTTCTCCTGTTTCAGAACTCGATCCGTCACAACTTGTCATTGAACCGCTATTTCATCAAAGTGGCACGGTCGCAGGAGGAACCAGGTAAAGGTTCCTTCTGGAGGATAGACCCGTCATCAGAGGGCAAACTCATCGAGCAGGCCTTCAGGAAACGAAGGCCCCGGGGTGTCCCCTGCTTCAGGACCCCACACGGACCCCTCTCCTCCAGGTCTGCTTGTGTCACTGTTACACACTTCAACTTACAATCCAAAGCAACTAATGGAACACGTTTCACTGCAGTTAATCATGGTGTAGAAGCACGTTAACATGCCAACACGTGCTTATAAACTACTCTGGTTTTGGAGTTTTGCCTCAGATATTTTTAGGCTTCTAGTCTCGCTGTGTAAAAACAAGCATTACAGTTTACAGTCATTACACCCAGGAAACCAAAAATAAGCTCACACATTCTCCTGCCAATAACTGCACTTCCATATCAGTCACTACCACTGTCATCTGTTTACATTTCATGTTGTCCAAACACGCAACTACAAAACTAAGTGTTTGCATGTCTCTTCTCCATAATAATATTAATATAGAATATCTTGACAAGTGATCCTGCGTATTAAACTTATCATAAACCTGCTTATGTGACTGTTCTTAGCTTTGATATACATCCATACATGTGCCTTTATGGGGAAACTGTAATAAACCTTCCAAGCTTTACGTTCTAGTCAGAAATGTTAGTAACAGTCAGTTTATACAGAGACTCTGTTCGACGGGTTGTTTGGCTGACAGGCCAGTTGATAACATAAATGATAATACCATGCCAACATTGTCATCTGCCAGTCAAGCAAAGCCATTTATTTAAACACTTTAGATGTGACATGTGATAGATAAAATACGTCAACACACAGATGAAAACAGGCTAATTTAAGGATCACAAAAAGGGCGAAAGTATTAGTTAGTTTATCTTCATACAAGTATTTTCTGTTCATCCACAGACTTACTTTATGCCTCCACACCACAGACTCTGTTTTTGTCCTTAAACTATTTAGAAACTCATCAAAGAGCAACACCGTCACATGATGGACATGGTCCTTTAATGCTATTGCTTTTGCTGCTGAGTCTGTTATCTGAGGACCTCAAAGTATAGACACAAATCACCGTGTCTGTTAATCATATCCACATTTTCATCTCTCTCAGGAGCGCCCCGGCGTCTCCCAATCACTCGGGGGTGCTCTCCGCTCACTCCAGCGGCGTCCAGACCCCGGACAGCTTATCACGAGAGGGCTCCCCTGTCCCCCTGGAGCTGGAGACCTCCTCTGCTCCCGCCCCGGTGTCCACCACAGCGGTCCAGCCCAAACTGGCAGTGATCCAGGAAGCACGCTTTGCACAAAACACATCAGGTACGACGCGGTCCCTTACATCTGTCTGCACAACAACATTTTCTTCACACATTGTTAACACAAGTCAGACATAAGTGCACAGTCACTGAACACTGACTTTGTTCACGTACACAGAGGTCGAACATTTAACGGGGGCTGCTGGGGCTTCTTTCGGATGCTGGTTTTACAGTTTTATTGCTCCTCACATTGTTTGTTGGAACATTTTATTGTTCCCAGTTAAAACAGTTACAAGTCATATTAAATTTGTTGGGTTCTCAACAGATTTGCACATAAAAAGCTTAATTTAATGCTTTTGACAACTGATTTGAAAAAAAAAAAAAATCTACCTCAAATATTAGAATACCTGATATGTGTGTATTTAGATAGTTCTCTGCACCTGCACTTTTGTTTTCCCCTTTTATACCTTTTCCTCGCTGTGCCACTGAGATTCAGCCTGGTGTTTTATGACCCTGCACAGTTCCTCTGTATAAATCTCATCTGTTCTCATGAATAAATATGGCCTTGTGCTCTACTTTTCCTGCTCCAGGCTCGCCTGTTAACAACCAGCCGGTACTCATAGCAGTCCAGCGTCAGTTACCTCAAACCATCAAGCCAGTGACTTACACCATGGCCTCCCCAGTGAGCACCAGCACCTCCCAGCCTGCTGTCCAGACTGTCCACGTCCTGCAGCAGATCCCGGCAGGGTCCCTCAGCTCCGCCGCCGTCATCGCCCAGCCAGCCACCATCATCAAGAGTGAGCCGCAGGAGAACGGAGAGCACACGGAAGTCAAAGGTGAGATGGAAGCCGATGACAAATCTTTGAGTCAAAGCCTCGAAGCGCTGAGTACAAGACCTCAATGCTGATTGTTGTAAATTGGTGTTGAGGGCATGAATTAAATCTTTGTATTTGAGAGAAAGTACTGGAGCTGCTCGAGCCCGTGACACAACATAACATTTCTCAAATATTTACGTATGATTTCCCTTCAGAGGTCTTTTAGATTTTAGAATTAAATACTGCTGATAGGAATCGTTTGTGCTATAAAACCGTGAAAAACAGTGCTTAAAGTTTTTAGCTTAGGTAAAAAAAAAAAAAAAAAAGCTTTAATATATGTTTTTAATATATGTTTATATTTTTAGTGAAATATGGAAATATAACCTATGAGAAAAGATGTCACTGGTATTACACTCATTAGCTGTGGACTTGGTCTCAGAATTAGCAACATAATAAATAAAACTATTTGTCGACAAAGAAGGCCTACATGCATATTTCAAAAGCCTCTAGTTTATTGATTTATAGTTGCTGAATAATTTATTGATCTATTATTTATTGAACTGCTTGCATCATTGCTGGTTTCCATGTGTTGCGCCGTATTTATTATGTTGTTACACAAAAATATCATTTCTATTTATCAAAAAAAGAAGTGGTTATGATACAGCTAAGACAGGTGTGCCACAGTCTGCAGGTAATATTTGGCATCGAGCACAGACTAGACGGTCAGAAAGATGCATTTACCATAGCTTCCTTTAAGCTACCGGGGTTTCTCATCCTCTCCTGGGGAACTGCTCTTTGATCTTTATGTCAGTTCCACACATTCTTGCAAAATATTTTGGTCTTTCTTGCCGTCAAACCTGCCAGTTCTGAATTATATCTGGAATTAAATTGCAGCTTTTTAAGCGCCCCTTCCTCCACTGTCATGAGGAAGCACATGTAAAATTACCGCTGCATTCAATCAAGTATGTTTCAGGTTGAAAGTAAAACAAATATATTACAAGCAAGATTACTGGAAAGGCCACCAGAAGCGTTTTCTGTTTGCAGATTTGGTCCACTTCACTTGTGAAGAAGCAGCACTTAGTTAAACCATTATTCTGCATTTTATTGCATTCATAATATCTGATTTATCGACATTTTCTCACAAGTGCTTCAACCAAAGAGTGTCTCAGCAGCTCAGATCAGGTGTAGTCTATGTCTTTGTCGAGTATTACTGCAGTACTCCACTCCTGTTAACACAATCCTAAGGTTTGTAACGTGACACTTTGTCCACCTCTGAAGTCTGTGTTTGTATGTTTCTCTTCCTCCTCAGTCAAAGTAGAGACGGTTCCCACCATCACCTCTATAGGTGCCTCCAGTCGCATCATCCAGAGCTCCCAGTCAGCCACGCCCCTGCAGACTGTTACCATAGTGCAGCAGGCCCCCGTGGGTCAACACCAGCTGCCCATTAAGGCCATCACACAGAATGGCACCCACAGCATCACCACTGCCATCCAGGGACCCGCCAGCTCAGGTGAGACACAACACTGTGAGGAGCAGGTGTGGGGAGCTTAGCGCAGAATGCTTCCTCCGACAAACGTTGGCTTTGTTTGTTTTGAAGATTGCATTTGGACGGATGTCAGCAGGGCTGCGACTATTCTGGTCATTGTTGATTATTTTCTTGATTGGTTTTTGGTTTATGAAATGCCTGAAAATGTTTCTAAATGCCAAAGATGATGTCATCAGTTGTTTTGTTTGTCCCACAACCTGTATATGTTCCAACTACCGTCACAGAGGAGGAAAGAAAATATTCACATTTAAGAAGCCTGAATCAGAGAATTTTTATTTTATTTTATTTTATTTTTTTAACTACTCAGAACCAATTGATTGATTAATTGAACAGCTGACATCAAATCCATTAATCGCTGTAGCTCACACTTCCCTCACTAATACGTCCACACTTAGTATGTTAGATCATGCATTACTGGACCAAAAGACAAACTCCATTACTCTTTGTTTTTGCTCATTTTACTTAATAGTATTTAAGATGTCAACCACAACGTTTTTTTCTTGTTGATTAGTTTGCTTTGTTTTTTCTCAATCCATATTGCAGACTCCTGATTATAGGGAAAAAAGTTGCTGAACTTTGTTTAACAAGCAGAAACACACAGGAATGTTTGACAGTTTAGCTTCAGAAATGGCCAAACAGTAATCAAAATACTTGGCATCATTTTAGCACTGGTTTCACGCACACAGTGATCAAATTTGACATGACGGCGACTATGGAATAACACAAATTCAAGTTAACCACAAGATCTGGCGATTGTGTTAACGAGAAACCATTTCACTGCCTCCGCTGAATCTGTAAAAAGTCGGCCACACTCGGAGCGTCTGATCCAAACCACGCTTGCCACAGACCTGCTGCTTATAGATGTCGGCTAACCACAGCTTGAGCAGCTCCAGCAGTGAAGTGTTTCCTCTGATAACCCGTCCCTCCCCTCCTGCTTCCTCTAGCTCCAGCTGTGGCGAGCCCCCTCCACCTGCTGGCGGCCCACGCCTCAGCCTCGGCCTCCCTCCCCACCAAACGGCAGAACGGGGACCAGCTGGCCAGCGAACAGCCGGACGCCAAACGCAACAAATCAGAGGACGAGACGACCCCAGCCGCCGCGGCAGACTCGGACTCGTCGGCAGCTAACGACCAAGGCGGCCACCACAACTAGTCTGTTGAACCACACACCACACGAACCCCACCTTCACCACCACCACCACCTTCACCTTCTCCTCCCCCATCCACGGTTTCTCTCTCTCTCTTTCTCGTCCCCGTCGTACGTTTTGTTCCTCCCACCACCACCACCTTCACCTTCTCCTCCCCCATCCACGGTTTCTCTCTCTCTCTTTCTCGTCCCCGTCGTACGTTTTGTTCCTCCTTCTCCTACCACTGACTCCCTGAGGTGCCAAACGGAGAAGATTCTTTTTTATTTTCAGTTTGGGTTATCTGTTCTAGAGCATCATGAGGAAAAAAAAAAAGTCCACCCCCTTTAAAAAGAAAAAAAAAACAAAAAAACAACAACAACAAAAAAAACACTGGAATGTGGGTTGAGAACAAAAATACAGAAAAAGACAAAGGTGTCCCCTGTGAGCCACTGAAACAGGAGAGTGACTAAAGCAAGACCACAGGAAGCCTTAACAACAAATAACCCTTACGAGCTGACCTTTGACCTCACGTGATCCGACTGGGAGAGGCCCTGACTCAGCTCGGGCTGGACGCCACCTTTCTGTCGCATCTACCTCAGAGCAGACGGGAGACTCCGGCAGCCAGCAGACGACACCCTCCCCTCAGCTGTCGAGACGGCTCTGGACGACGTGACCAACCGAGCGACGAGTATGATGAGCATTCATTGGTTAGATTTGGTTTTTTTTTTGTTTTTTTTTTTTGTTTGTTTTTTTTAATGAATAAAAAAGAAAAAAACAGTCAACGCATTCAGAAAGGGATCAACTCGGAGCCAATATTCCTGAAACTCTGGCAGCTAGCCTCTCACAATACTGACCTTCCTTAATCGCAGCTGTACGTAGATATGCAGTATTTTGTTGTTCAAAAATGTGGAGAATAGGATTTTTTTTATTTTTTTTTTAATGTATTTTCACTTATCTAGATAAGTAATAATTTAATTAAAGGAAGCGTACAAAAATGGTGAGGTCGGTGACATTTCGGTAACTAAGTTAGAAATCTCACTCTTTTTATGTGATCTTTTTCTGTTCAGTGAAAACAGTGTAATAGTTTTTTCGTAAACTTTTTGTTTCTTTCCCCCCCTCGTTCTGACATATCCATATGAAACTGCTTCGTTATACCTACATATTTTAATACTTGCACAGATAACCGATATAAGCATATGAAATCTCCATGTGTAGTTCCAGATGTTGACCTTTGCATGTATCCGACAACGGAGAAGTTGTTAACTGTAAATTGAACAGAGGAAAAAAAAGACCTGCTTTGTCCAAAACCAGACCTGCACTTGATTAAATGTTTGTGTTTTCATTTCCCTCCCTTCTTCTTCTTCTTCTTCTTTTCGTTTCCCCTCACACCCTCCTCTTCCTCCTGGTCCCTCCCAGCTGTGTTGACGTTGTGGTGTTGGCAGACCCCTCCACCCACCCTTCCCTCCTTTTGCTTCGTTATTTTTACTCTGTTCTGGCGACCTGGCGAGTCTGTTTTTTTCTGATTGTACACGTTCCAAACAATAGTAAAAGGAAAAAAAAATTGATGTTTGTTCTGCTTCAGTGGAGAAATGCTTTTTTTTTTTTTTTTTTTTTTAATAAATTAATTTAAAGTCCTTTTTTTCCCCTGTATCTTTTTGCTTTGACATTAGGATTGTGGCTCAACTTTGTTTTTTATGTTTAAATAAAACTGCACTCAACTCTTATTTACGCCAAGACTGGTTGTAGTTCCACTCCTCTCCACAGGGGGGCAGCAGAGGAACATTTTTCAGCTTGTTTGAGGGTTGGGGAAAAAAATATTTTTTCCTGTAGCACAACATGGCTGGAACCTAATTACAAGAGTGTTCAGGTGAAGGATGTGTTTTTTTGGTTTTTTTTTTAATGTGTAGAATCAAGAGAAAGAAATTCCAGAATAAATACAGTTGACTTTTAACAGTTTTAATTCCCAATTTACTGAACATGTTTTTTTTTTTCTTGTTTAAAAAGCACAATCATTGAATATATAATGCAGATAGCGTGTACACAAGGCAGCCCTGCACTGAACTACCAGCAGCATAAACCTCGTCAAGGCTGACCTCTGAAATAAACACGCTTTGAAGCTGAAAAGTGAAAAACATGAATTCGGGGGGAAAATGGTTAAACATGGGTGTGCTCCTCCGCTGCAGATGGGAATGTTTTTAGGAAGCAAACAAACTCTATAAAGCACTTGAAAAATGATACAATAAGAGGAAGAAAAGGGGGAAATAAAAAAAAAAAAACACAGGACAAAGAAAACCAAAGAACACAAGTCTGTTTTAAGATGTTTAAAGGGTTGTGTAGCAGAGTCACAGCAGTGGTGGGGAAAAAAAGAAGAAATTACAGTTAGATTCAGACAGTTCACTGTTACTTTGTCCATGGTCAACATCAGGAATTAAACCTGAACTGCTGTCACCTTCAACTCATGTCCAGTAATGAGGACTTTTATGCACCGAGTGAAGCTTTATTGCTCCTAAAAGACACCTGAAGTGCAGTAGATGATGCAGCGCATATTAGCAGACATTGTGGTTTTTTTGTTTGTTTATTTTTTGGCCTTTATTATATAGGACAGTCAAAGCAGAGACAGGAAAGTGAGGGAGGAGAATGGGGGAAGGGGTTGCAGCAAAGGGCCATGAGCGGGATTCAAACCCATGGCCACTGCATCGGAGAGTATAGCTCCTGAACAGGGGTCGCTAGCTCAACCAGGTGAACTAAAGCCGCGGCCCTCAGACATTGTCTTTTGATATTTCATCAACAGAAACATTTTTTAGTCTGTTTACTGAAGCTTGGAGCATTTTTCAGCGTTGATGTTGCACTGATGTGTTTTTCTATAAACAGACGCCCAGGCAACAGTGAAACAATTATCCAGTCTGCACCCTGCAGAGTTCCTACATTCCTCCTTTGTGTTGGAGGAGCTAAATAAAGCTGCTGTGTCGAAGGTGTTTCCTCACTTCAGCCACCACACAGGCAGCCTCCTGGAGTCGAACTATGCGCACGCAGAACTGTGCACAAGTTTGAGACGTGATGCCCAACACTGGCTATATACCAGGGAGACGTCTGATTGGTCCCAAATCCTCAGTCATAAAGACCAGGTGATAGCAGCCACCAGGTCGCTAACGACTCTATTCAAGCTGGTTTTAGCCACTGCTAAACGAGTGCTTTGTCAGAAACTGCAAGATTTTACTTTTCAAATGAAGTCGCATCCTTGAAGTTTGGCCTCGTAGTTCTTCTATTACAAACTTTTTCCATTTGGCTATGCCATTTACCAGCAATCACTTTTTCGCACCAAAAATGATGAATAAAACTGTTGATAGCATTTTTTATTTTTTTTTGAAAGCATCCTCTTTTTCTTTTTTGTGCCTAAATACTGCTTTACTGCAAACATGATGCCTTCAAGCTGCAGGTTTTTGTTCTATGATCCTGAGATGTTGCAGCAGAAGAAAGAAAAGCTTCCGGCTTCCAGACGTACAACACTACAGACACTCCGACAAGACTCATGGCAATGTTGGAGCACTTTAACATAAAGTATCTTGCTGATGTATTAACAGGTTGGAAGCTCATTAACAAGCATGCAACACTGTCTGTTTACATTCACAGGTAGACAGATGGTAGATCTGTGGGCAGATGTGTGTTGTGCGTCATTTATTTGCATTATGAAATGAGAAGAAAAAAAAGAAATAGGAAAAGGTGTTGCTGTCAAGAGAAGTGGAAGCGATTCTGCTTCTTGGATCATCGCTTTTAGAGCTAAAACTGGGGGGGAAACGGAGCAAACCTCACATTACTCAAAGAAAAAAATGATCAAGTATGATGCAAAAATAAAGAAAACACGTAACGGCTTTGATGAAAACTATATCTGTTTGTGTAGCCGATCGGGTCTTTCAGCTCTACAATCAATCAATCAATCAATCAATCAATCAATCAATCAATCAATCAATCAATGTGAACCATTTCAGCTGCAAACTTGCACCAAATATTGATGAAGGAAAAGACACCAGGAATAGACTGGTGACACTTAAATCAGAAAAGTCGCATTTTTGGACCAACTTTCTTGTTGGTTGTGTTTCCAAACTGGTATTTTGTACCATGATGGTGTGAAAACTGGTGGACTAATTTGCTGAATTAGTGAAAATGTCATGAACCTGGGTGTTTGCTCAGGTGATTGGATTCACCTGCTGGAGAGGCTATATATGCTGAGTGCTCCAACGAGGCCTCTGGTGCTTTGAAAGGTGACCACTCTTTGTTTGATTTGGTTCTACTCTGAGTTATCTGATTGTTACCCTCCCCAGCTCCTGCTACTTCCCCTCGCTGTGACTTAATCAACCTGATGTCACCGTTTGCACCTCCTTGGCTTCAGCGAGCCAGCAGCAACAAAATGCAGATAAAGTGTTTAAAAAATATTTAAAAATTCATCTTCCAGCACCTTAGTCTGTCAATAAAATAAAAAAGTCCCTGAAAGATTTAACCTTCAGCGTTACTTCTCAAACTCTTCAAAATAACAGCGTTACGCAATGCCTGCAACTAGCCGGGTGCGCTGATGACCTCCGTGTGCAGACAGGAAAGATCCTCTGTGTGCACACATTGAGTCTCTGTGTGAATATTCAGTCCTAGCAGACACAAGGGGAAGGTGACTAACAGCAGCGAAGGAGCAGCAGCATTTAAAAACGCTGGAGAGACGAGGAGGGGTGGGAGAAAGATTGGCGTCGGGAGCACATTTGTGTTGCCTTACTGCTGGCTGTGTAGGTGGAGTCTCCATAGAAACCAGAGCTTGTTACGACTGCCTGAATCGAGTGTTGATACTCTGGAAGCTGGAGGGGCTTAGAGGGACGAGGAAGAGCGAGCCATCTGCCTGAAAAGCACCACAGCTCGGCTCTGATGGTTTGTGCCGATGAAAATGATTGTCCCAAGTGTCTTCAGGAGATCAGAATTTTCTCCTAAAGACCCAAATCTAGAGCCTGGTTTCTTTTCTTAGCTCATCTCTCAGGTAATGAGGCTGCTTGCTGTTTGTATTCCCAGAGGAAAACTATTCCAGGACTCTAATCCTCTGATAATATCTGACCTCTCCATGTCAGACTGCAGCTCCTTAACGCTGCCGTTTCCACAAGGAC